CCTATCCCCTGTGTGCCTTGCCCTCCACGACTATAGGTGGAATGGGAGTCGTTAGATCTTCATCATACGGTTCAGAATACACTTCACTATTTTAATTTTAATTTTTTTATATAAATCTGTTTAATATGAAATTTTGGGTATATATACCTAACACTATTGTGCACCATATAAAAATATAAAAAATTATTTTGAATGATTTAAAATGACAATAATACCACCGTCATTTTTTAGGGGTATTTCGGTCATTTTATATTTTAGAAAATATTTTATATATATATTTTATTTGTGCGCCCTATTTTTTAGTACACATGTCTAAAATTTCATTATTATCTACTTTATTGAAAAATAATTAAAATTAAAATAGTGATATGCATTTTGAACTACATGATAAAAATCTGAAGATTTGACGACACCCATTTCACCTATATTACTATTCATTATAGCTGGCCAACTATTGTTAGCTTTTTCCATATATATATTTGTGTGTATATGCGCGCCCGTGTGTGTAGTTCGATGATAGAACCTGCGGCAAAACTAAAATTAAAAGGGTGTGGTTTCTATAAGGTTGCAACCTTAAACAATTCAATTAAGACGCACCTCCAAATTTTATCAGAACATGTAATTTTGGTGAAAATATTCTTAATATTTTCTCAAAATCTATTTTCATATCTAATTATAAAATTTTAAACTCCAAAAATGGTTAAAATCAAGCAGATCTATAAACATATAAAAATTTTGAAAATGGACGGTCTAGATAATATATTGCAAGATGCACTATGTTTAAGACTCAAAATCTTTTTTTTTCTTTTATCTTCATACATCTCGATGTCGAGGAGAACAATCAGAAGTTTTTTTAACGTTAAAACAACATTTTCCTATGGATTTTTTAGATGCATTTGTAATTCTACATTTTAAGATTGCAACCTTATATAAACTTTTTCCAAATAAAAATAACCACCAAAAGTTGGGACTTGAATGTAAAATTGGGGAAACATGAATCTTGTGGTAATTTCACATTTATTTTTCGGCTAGTATGTGAGTTTCCTATTTTTAT